AAAAAAAAAAAAAAAAAAAAAAAAAAAAAAAAAAAAAAAAAAAAAAAAAAAAAATCAAAGAAGAGGAAAAATATTGGTTTTCATTTCTTTCCTTGTGTACGATCACCGCCCACCGGAGGATGTTCTCCAGCAAAGTTCCGGTGGCCGATGGTGGCGGCGCACGGCCGGCCGCCTCTTCCCGGGACCCATGTGCACCCATTCGGTGCTGGCGGCCTAACTGGCCTTCGCTGTAAGGACGAGAGCAGAAGTTTCGGTTCACTTCTCATCCATTGCTCGTTTTCTTCGCCTAAAAGTCGAGCCGCCTCGTAATTTTTCGAGCATAGGATTATGATCATTGCTGCAATAGCAAATAATATTTTTGTAGACATTATTATAATTTTTCCCGACAGAATAACAATTTTCAGCTTGAGCAATTTTTATGTGAATATATATAATGTGCAAATCGAATTAATGGAAATGGTTTATTTTGAGGTTAGACTTGTGTTGTGTGTGTTTGTGTATTTATATATATATGCTGCATGGGAGAAATAAAAAAATTTAAATGAATATCATGTGACTTGAATAATTATATATTATATGTAATTAATTAATTTATTATATAGTTAAAATTGTGTAAAGTGGTGTACGCAGGGGTTTGACTGTTGACTATTTGAACGAGTCTACACTGAAAAGAATGCAAAATATATTAAAATAAAAATAAAAATTTGCTCGTTTAAACGTGAACACGGTCGTATACACAGGTAGCAGTCTTAATATTCCCAACCGGACATAAGTTAACAACAAAATCATAAGTTCCATAACTAATAATAATTGATAATTAAAAGTAACATTCTATATTATTTTAAATAAAAGGTTTGGAGGAGTTCGGAGTCATCCCTCGTTTTATTCGCGAAAGAGGTCAAAATTCCAGGACTAAGCCAAACATTTTTTTCCAATTGAAATTATAATACATATTAAAAAATATATTATTTATTTTATTTCCTTGTTTTCTCCTAAAAATTTACTATATATATTTCAAATGAAAACACCATTACCCAGTCACATGTTTTAAAATATTAATTATTATCAATTAATTAATATTCAGCTATTTTTATTAAAATTTAGTTATCATATTTTTATCATATGTACATCCATAATCTAAAAAATGTTCCACTCTTGGAAAAATTAATGTTGAGTTAAATTTAAGTTTTGATTAGTTTTGATTAGTTATCACTAGTGCGTGGTCCGTACGATGCACGGGAAAATAATATTACGATTGTATTATAAATTAAATATATAAATAATATTAATCATAATTTATCTATTGTTTTTAAATTAAACCGGGTTGCACACAGTCCGACCGGATGGATCAAGAACCGGTTTATAACCAGTCTAGTTCGCTTGAATAAAATATTTGCTCTGGAATCCGTCAACACCAGTCGGTTGGACTGGTAGGATTAAGACGATTTTCTAAAAAAATTTTGTTGTATTTAAAATTATTTTAAATAAAATTACATATTTAAATAAAATAGAGATTTATATATTATTTATCAATTAGTTTAAACATTTGAATTTATAAATTATTTAGATATCTAAGTAACATATTTTATTTAAATTTATTACAAAAGTACTATATATATATATATATATATATATTAAAATGTTTATAAATTAAAATCTGAACAAACCACAAATGATTTAATAAAATAGCTTGATCGTTTCGATGACGGTCCAGTTCTGAAAATCTTATATTTACTGTACATTAATAAAAATTATAATAAAATATTATTTAATTCACATAAATATTAACAAAATGATATATAAATATTCATAAATCATTAAACATGTTGTCATAAAAGTATTGTTAATACGATTATTTGAAGTTTGAACTACATCACATTCATGTAATAACATATTTTCAATATAAAACTTATATTATTTTCGCTATCCGCAAGTGTACGGCGTAGCTATAGGTAGTGGCGAGCAAGGTCGTATTCCACAGAGATTGTAGTTAAATTAATTAAGTACTAAAATAACGACGATTAAATATTATCTAGACTAATGAATTGGATGATGATTATTAACTAAGAAATTAAACTAAGAACTAATCTAACTAAAAATAAAAATAAAAATAAACAAAGAAACAAAAGATAGATTCTAGGCTAAGCGTTCCTCGTAATTAATTCATGAAACGTTTATATTCAAACAACCTTATTTAATTTTACCAATCGTAGAGATAATCGCTAAATTGATTTCAAACCTTTCTCTCGAACAAGTCAAATCGTAGATATTAATTGTTATCTATCTCCTCTCGGTCTCAAGATGAACAACTAACTCCCATAAGTTCCTAGGATTTTCGTTCTCTCGCAAGGTCCTATCAACCTCTCGGTCTGTTTATTCTCTTACGTTATAAATCTCCCAATTCTAGCAATCAATTATCTCCTCTCGGTCTCAAATCGATTACAAATATGCATTCATAGTGGCCATCTACTCACACAGTAAAAATAAGCACAAGAAATTCATAAACGAAAGATAAACCGGAATGAAAGAAATAAAAACTAAATCATAAATTAATCCGAGTACTAACCAATCCTAGAATCTAAAAGGTTTAGCTACTAAACATATTCTCAAACTCAAAATAAATAAATCCATGAGTTCAATGAAGAAGGAAAAGAGAAAAGAAAGAAGAACTATTGTCGCCGTTAGTTCCCGAATCTTCAATCTTGACTTCCTCGAATCCCTCGTGTGTTTCGTGCTTTCTCTAGGCCTCCAATGGTGTCCAAAGTCCCAAGAACGAGTTCCTAAGGCCTCTTTTATACTGTAGGGTCATTCAGGGTCGAAAAAGGGAAGAAAACGCGTAAGAATCCTATTCCCCGCAGGTCTGGTCTGCACGTCACACGAGTCGTGTGACATGCCACACGAGTCGTGTGACTTTTCTCAACGTTTCGGCAAACTTTCAGACTCACACGACTGGTTACACGACCGGGTCATACGAGTCGTGTGAGGCCACACGACCCGTGTGACAAGCCACACGACCCGTGTGAAAAAGCCGTAGCTGCGTTTCTTATTTTCTCAACCCACACGACCCGTGTCACTACCCACACGAGTCGTGTGACCTCTTCTGCACCCGTTTTCCCCGTTTTTCGTCCCGATTCCATTTCCAACGCATTTCCGGGCATATTTCCTACAAAACTAACGACAAAAACACCTCTATCATAGATTAATAAATAACACAAAATGGTGCACAATCACACGATAACCAGGGCCAAATATCACAATATATCACTCATAATGCATGAAAATATGATGAATATCAAAACTTATATTTAGGTTCAATAATCGATTTGATGTGGTCGAACTGTTACATAACTTAGTCACCTGGGACCAACCAAGTTGTGTCAAATTTTTTGACTATTTTAATTATCACCGAAAAGTAATTCAATCAACCTGGGCAGTACCCTAATTCAATCACCCGATTGATCCGAAGAAAATTTCTTATTTTCTTTAAATATATTTAATTTTATGAAATAAAAATATTTTATGACATATAATAAATGTCTACACCAAATGATAGTATATTAAGATTATATATTATATATCTAAAGATGAATTAATTATGTTTACTTTATGCATATTAATTAAAAATAAACATAGTAATTTTAAAAAAAATAAGATTAATTGATTGATTATGCAATTTAAATAATATTTTTTGCATTCAATATGTTTTTTTTAACGGCACAAATATAAAAATCGAGATTCTAAAACTTTTGTTATATTTTGAATTGAGATTTTATAAATATGGAGACCGAAATTTTAATGTTGTTCGTTGTTTCTAAGAAAAAGAATAAAAATAAAAACATACACATTTAATAAATCTTAACCGGATTTTTTAAATAATAAAATAAACTAAAACCCGAAATTTAAGGTAACATTTAATGTTGTATGATTTTTAAAGAAAAAAAATAAGAAAAGTAATAAAACTTACTATATATAGGCTGCATTAAATTCTGACTTATTTTTTTGCTACTATTTTTGGTAAATGTTAATTCTTATTATATATATATAGATATTTATTAACAACTAAACATACCACATTTTTTTTAAAAATTAACTATAGTTAAAAAACAAACCAAATAAAAATTAGTTGAATCCATAAACAATCACACCCTATGTTTTCCAAATTTTCACCTGTTTTATCTATCGAGACAAGTTATTTTGAGAAAATAGGAATAAAAATAATTCCAATTGGCTACTTCACTCAATATACATTTTCATGCTATAAAAATAATGAAAAAAATTATTGAACTCTTTTTATAATGATCATATTTCATAGTATAATTCTACATTGAATTATTTGTTCAAGAAATAAGTAGCATGTCAACACGCCAAACATTTAATTCGTACAAACATTATATCAGAACAAAATGGCCTATGATCTGAAATTGACCGGCACTAATTAAACAGTAGTGAAATAACGAAGGTACCATTTTTTTCCTTTTGTTTTTCTTTATGAGGTCAACCTGTCAGTAATTTGTTACATTTTTGGAATATATTCATCTTTTTGGAAATAAAATTTTTAGGCGAGACCCTTGTTTTCAAAATATATATTTATGTTGTGAAATATTATATTTTTGTTTATATTTTTTTTTATTTTATGATATTTCAATTTAAAAGGTACTACCTCTGTTTTTTTATATATGTATCTGTAGAATGTCAATTTTTTTACAAATTAATTATCGTCGAAAATATTTTATTCATTCTTTCAATTTTATCCTCTTTAACAAATTTTAGCAGAATCACCTAAAAACTTTCTCTTTTATCATTATCTTTAAAAACAAAACATTAATAATTGAAAAACATATAAATTTAAGAGGATTAGTATATAAGATAATTACACGACCCATTAAAATTATAATTTAAAAGTTTAAAATTAAAACCACATCTAAAATGAAAGAAGGAGTAATAAATTTATTGAAAAGATAACTACCTAACAATAACCTTACTATTTTTAAAATTAAACTTTGTAAGTTTGAATGTTAGAAATGTTTTGGTCACAAATGTTGTGTTTGATGATGCTTTACGCGACACAACCGACCAACAGAGTAAAGAAATGGTAAAACACGATGAGCTATGAGGCCGTTCACCACTTTCCACTTACGTCATATTATTTTTGTTTATTCCAATTTAGTCCTTCATCTCTGTGGTTTACTGTTTCGTACCCGGGTTTGACGCGTGGATGGAGAAAAGTCAAACCTGTCATTGCTTCATTGCTTGACCTTTTATAGTTCCAAATTCCAATTTTCATGGATCACATTTGGAGGAAATAATGAGGAGTTTTAAAGAAAATGAATGAATTTTTTAATTGAGTTTTAAAAAATGTGTCGAATTAGTTGATGGGATGTTTTGGACTAATATAGCGATTATGATTTATGAATATACAACTAATAATTTGAAATAATGATAAAACAACGTAATGGTGACCGTCCATAGCACATTTTAATCACCGTATGTTAAAGTAATTTAGGATACCAGTGGTTGGACCTATTACTCTCTAAATACATTTTTCTCCAAAATATTGATTCATATAGTACAGGTAAAAAAATCAGTAAATACCGATTTTTTTTAACGTAATTTTATATTTTTATATCAAGATTCTTTTCTATAAATCTGAAGTTCTAAACTTGATGCTACTATAAATCAATTTGAATATTAATTAAGTTGGTTCTATAAAAAGTTAATTGACATGTATTAAAACCCACAAAATGAATACTCAAACCAGTTAGAACCATATACCGGTGCCTTTATTCAATATAATCACCTGTATGGTGTTTCAAGCATTGATTGAAGCAACGTCATTAAATCAAATTGTAATAGGATTAGAAACTAAATGAATGGACATTTGATGTTGATCGTCATTTGCACAAAATGTCCTTATAATTCAAATGTTGCAAACCGTCCATACATTAACTATGAATGTCAATGAGGCCTTATACTCAGTCGGACACAAGACTATTTGCTAGGGAAGTTGATGGAGAATTGCACTTGCCAGTTTTTATAACTATGCATATGTCAATGAGGCTCGAATAACAAACATACAAACGTAACATCATCAAGTACAAGTCCGTTATCCAAATTGAAAGTCAGTCTGGTTTCCTAATTCTAGCACAAAGACCAATTTAGAAGACTAGTGTACTGTCCTAAGTCCTGACAAC